CCAGATGAGTTCTAGCTAGATCGGCCATCCGCCCTGCCCCAGAGAAATTCAGCAGGTCACCAGTTTACGTAGAGGTTCAGTGTACAAGTTCACCAGTCAGGTGTCAGGACCCTAGAACAGCGGTCCCCAAGCTTTTTGGCCCCGGGGACCGGTTTTGTGGAAGACAGTTTTTCCACGGAGGTGTGTGTCTATGGTGGGCTTCAGGTGGTAATGTGAGCGATGGGGCGGGGCGGGGGGGGAACGGCGGCTCATCTCCTGCTGTGCGGCCCGGTTCCGAACAGGACGCGGATCAGTACCGTGGCCTGGGGGTTGGGGACCCCTGCCCTGGAACACATCTCCCCGTCAGAACCGCAAAGCCCTTACGGAACGTCCTTGCCATACACGTCGGTATGTGGACCGGAGAAGGAGGGCGGGCGGCCCAAAGGTAACGACTCATCTCGATTTTGAATGATGGAAGGAAGATGGGCGTCTGCTCAGACGATTTCTCCAGAAAGCCATGTCGGGGAGGAAGACATTTTCCTTATCCTTCCAGGCTCTTCTGGCTGGTCTGAGAATGAAATGGACGTGAGACAGATGAACAGGAGAAAGTCCCATGAAAGTTGAATCCCCTGGACACACGGGAGAGACCCAGGAAGACGGAGTCACTCACAAACATGGTCCTAACCCTCATCTTAAATGCTGTCATCTTCAGCTAAAGACGAAAGAGCCTGTTGGGGCAGTGGTTTGGGACTTCAAAGCGGGGGAGGGCCGTCGACGTGGAGACGGAAAAGAAAAGGGTTGGTAGACAAGTGTTTGCTGAGCCTGCAGAGACAATGGGACACAGGGTGGACTGTGATCTCCCGGGCCCTGCTGTTTCCCCACCACGGGTGGCCCATATCACGGGCAGACATCTCTGGTGAGGAAAGGGGTCCCAGGAACAGCTCCTCCATCTGAATTCTTTTAGGCTATTAGCGAGAAGGTCAGAGTTTCTCTTTTGAGTCTTTGGGCTTTGATTGTTTTCAGGTCGAAATAATCCGCGTGCCAAAGAGATACCTTGCGGGGGGAGCAAAGTTGCGTTCCACTCCAGTAGCAATAGCCACAACCCACAACCCCAAAGCACTCTTCCTGCGTCCTGTGTTCCCTCAAGTCTCAACACTGCAAATCTCGAGCCTTTGAGCTGTCAGATGTGAGAAGGGGAACAGGCCAGAGATGCACGGCTGTCAGGAACTGGGGGAAAAGCAACGCCTAGACGTGGCTGCCACTATGCTTCTTACAGACAGGATCCCGGGCCGTCTCTGACTCTGAGAGACAGAAATCAACGAGGAACACCGAGAAAGAATGGCACGTATGGCCACCCTATCGGAGGGTAGCCGTCATCCCCCAACCGCACCCGTCGTGCAAAGAGTCTGCACGTGTAAACGCGCATGTAGAGAAACCCTTTCGTAACACGTGGCCCGCATTGTGCGAAGACATATAAACCATAGTGCTTAACAAAACGGCCATTCATTTGAACATCAGAAGAGTGTGTTGTCCTTTTTTGTTTTTAAAAGGCTTCCCTTGGGCATAGAAAAGTTTTTCACATCCACGACGGGGGGCGTTTTTCCTCTCTGCAGCCCATCTTTTTTTTTTTCAAATTTGACCGCACGCACCGCAAGGCTTACGGGGATCTTAGTTCCCCAACCAGGAATTGAATCCGTGCCCTCGGCACTGAAAGCACCAAGTCCTGACCACTGGACCGCCCGGGAAGTCCCCCATCTTTTTATTTATTGCATAAACTTACACCTTCCTGACCACTGCCACACTTGGTTATTGCTTGGTGATTTTCCTTCCAGCTACTTTTTGGGTCATTGCAAACTATCTCCTCCAGTGCTTTGTGTACATATCGATACGGTTGATTACAGGCAGATCTCAGAGATAACGGTGGGTTCCGTTCCAGAGCACCACAGTAAAGTAAATATGACCGTAAAGCGAGTCACACGAAGCTTTTGGTTTCCCAGCGCATCTAAAAGTTACGTTTACACTGGATTGTAGTCTGTTAAGTGTGCAGTACCATTATGTCTAAAAAAAAGCAATGTGGGTGCCATAGTGAAAAACACGTTATTGGTAAAAATTGCTCACCAACCTCGGAGCCTTCCGTGACTTGCTTTTTTGCAATAGGAACACCCAAAATCACAGATCGCCACAGTAACGAAAAGGTTTGAAGTATCGCGAGGATTACCAAAAGGGGACCCAGACACACAAAGTGAGCAAATGCTGTTGCAAAAATGGTGCCCGTAGAGTTGCTTGCAAAACAGGGTTGTGACAGACCTTCCATTTGTTAAAAATGCGGTGTGTGCAAAGCACACTGAAACGAGGTGTGCCTGTATTTTTCTTTATTTTATTGGAACAGCCCATCCCAGCAGCCAAGACCATCTGGTGCGTGGTGCCCTGCGCATGCTCACCCAAGGACGCCGGGTCCTCCGAGCATCCTTTGTTTTCATGGAAGCCCAGAGGGACGCAGCTCTTTGGGACCAGCCTTGGAGGGGAGCACAGCGTCCTGAGCAGAGAAGATGCCCAGGCTGGGGGTTCGGGGATCAGGCACTGCTGGCACGGTAGCCTCACGTTGCTTCACATCATCGTCTGTGTGTCCCGATCCTGCGGGAGGACCTTTATATGCTTGTGCATGAGTCACGCTTCTGTGTCCTAAATCCGCTCAGAAACAGAGCCCTTACTTCCAAAGAGCATTTCTCTTTTATTCTACGTCTTTTTTTTTTTTTAACATCTTTATTGGAGTACAGTTGCTCTACAATGGCATATGAGTTTCTGCTGTATAACAAAGTGAATCAGCCATACGTAGCGACATCTCCTTTACAGGCAAACTTTCTTCTCCATCAGTGCTTATCTCCCCAGGATGTAGTTGTTGCTTTCCCTCTTTGCCGTGACCTCTAAAATTCATTCAGGACTCTGTCTCTTCTCGCATCTATATTCTTCTTTTCTCCTCAGCTTGTCGCTGCTGCCTTTTCTCCCGTGAACAGAGCCAATCTGCACCTTTCTAAAGGTGATGCGTCTCTTCTGACTCTCTGGGGACATCTCCTACCCGTCGTTGCTTAGAAATCTCTTGCTTTGGGGTTTTGTTAATGGCCACCTTTCCCAGCAGGTGTCTGGGAGGCCATCATGAGTGGACTGGAAATTTGCAGTCTTGATGACGACCCTGGGGCCACTGAACCAGGTGTGATCCCTGAGGTGTGCCCACCCCGTGTGAGTCTGCTCGGGCTGTGAGACAAGCGCCCCAGATGGCACGGCTGTAGCAGCAGAGTTATTAGCGCATGTTTGGGGAGGTTGCAAGTCTGAGGTCAGGATGTCGGCCTTGTGGGTGCTCTTTGAGACCGTGGAGACGGCCGTCTCCTCCCTGTGTCCTCCCAGGGTCGTCCCTCTGTGTGTGTCTGTGTCCTGATCTCCTCTTCTTATAGGGACACCTGTCCTGTGGGATCAGGGCCCACCCTAGTGACCTCATTTACCTTCATCCCCTCTTTAAAGACCGTATTTCCTAATCGAATCACCTCCTGAGGTCCTGGGGTGAGGACTTAACATATGAATTTGGGGATTGGGGACACAATTCAGCCCATAACAGGCTGTTCACCAGTTTATCATCAGAAGTTGGTATTTACTCTTGGCCGTCCTGAGACCTTTGCACGTCGACAGGATAGCCATCCCTTAGCATTGTGTCTCCCTGTATCCTAACATCTGCGTGCACCTGAATCTTAACGTCTACCTATATGTGTCCAAACGTGTGTCCGTGCACGTAACGTTAACGTCATCTGTGCCACATCTTAGCACATCGAATGGGTACCTGTACCCATAACATGGATCTCTGCCAAACCTTAACATGTGTCCACACACATGTCTCGACATCTGTTCACTCATCCGAGTATCTTAACATCCACCTAGAGATCGATCTTAACGTGTATTGATACACATAACGTGACATCTGTCTATGCCATGTCTTAACATGTATCTGTACCAATAACATCGCTCTCTACCAAATCTTAGCATCGCCGCACACACAGCTGTGGGCATCGGTCCATCTGTATGAGCATCTTAACATCTTCCTAGGGATGTATCTTTTCTTACAAAATAATTATGTTTATGTGTTGGGTTTTCTGTTCTAATACCTATAGACATATCTTAACATCAATCTCTACCAAATCTTTTTTTTTTTTTTTGCTGTACGCGGGCCTCTCACTGCCGTGGCCTCTCCCGCTGCGAAGCACAGGCTCCGGACGCGCAGGCTCAGCGGCCATGGCTCACGGGCCCAGCCGCTCCGCGGCATGTGGGATCCTCCCAGACCGGGGCACGAACCCGTGTCCCCTGCATCGGCAGGCGGACTCCCAACCACTGCGCCACCAGGGAAGCCCTCTACCAAATCTTAACATCTGTCCACACACGTCTTGCATCTGTCCATGTATATGAGTATCCTAACATGGACCTAGAGATATATCGGTTTTTTTTAAGATTTAATTGAAGTAGAGTTGATTTACAATGTCGTGTTAATTTCTGCTGCCCAGCAAAGTTATTCCCTTATACGTATATATGCATTCTTTATCGTATTCTTTTCCATAGGGTTTATCGCAGGAAAGTGAATACAGTTCCCTGTGCTCTACAGTAGGACCTTGTGGTTTATCCATTCTCTATGTAATAGTTGGCATCTGCTAACCCCAAACTCCCAATCCATCCCTCCCCCACCCCCCTCCCCCTTGGCAACCAGCAGTCTGTTCTCTGTGTCTGTGAGTCTGTTTCTGTTTTGTAGATAAGTTCATTTGTGTCTCATTTTAGATTCCACATATAAGTGATATCATATGGTATTTGCCTTTCTCTGTCTTACTTACTTCACTTCGTATGATCATGTCTTACCTAGAGATGTATCTTAACATGACCTGTTCATGTAACACGACCTCCGTCTAAGTGCCATCCCAGCATCCGTCCATCCCTGTCCCTTCCTGTCCATCTGAGGCGCAGCCCTCACTCCCGCTCTGGTCCCGCAGGTTCTGGACGGGGCACGATGACCGCTTCCTGTACATGCTGATGGAGTTCGTGCCGGGTGGTGAGCTCTTCAGCTACCTGCGCAACCAGGGCCGCTTCTCCAGCTCCACCGGGCTCTTCTACGCCGCGGAGATCGTCTGTGCCATCGAGTACCTGCACTCCAAGGAGATCGTCTACAGGGACCTGAAGCCGGAGAACATCCTGCTGGATAGAGACGGTCACATCAAGCTCACTGACTTCGGGTTCGCCAAGAAACTGGTGGACAAGTAAGTGAACGTTTCCCCCGTTTTCCCATCTTCCCGCCCCCTGCGTCTGGCAGCGTGCTCTGTGTCCTCTGCGCTGTGACCTCCTTTTTCTTTAGATTCCACACAGAAGTGACATCGTATGGTATTTGTCTCTCTCTGTCTGACTCACTTCACTCAGTATGACAATCTCCAGGTCCATGCACGGTGCTGCAGATGGCATGATTTCATTCATTTTGATGGTTGCGTGATATTCCATCGTATATATATATATACACACCACATCTTTATCCATTCCTCTGTCGATGGACACTTAGGTTGCTTCCATGTCCTGGCTGTTGTAAATAGAGCTGCAGTGAACATTGGGGTGCATGTATCTTTTCGAATTAGAGTTTTCTCCAGATATATACCCAGGAGTGGGATTGCTGGATCACATGGTAGCTCTATTTTTAGTTTTTTGAGGACCCTCCATCCTGTTCTCCATAGCGGCTGCACCAGTTTAAATTCCCACCAACAGTGGACGTGCTTTCTCTTTTCTCCACACCGTCACCAACTTATATTACGGCTTGTCTTTTTTTTTTTTTTTTTTTTTTTGCCGTACGCGGGCCTCTCACTGTTGTGGCCTCTCCCATTGTGGAACACAGGCTCCGGACGCGCAGGCTCAGCGGCCATGGCTCACAGGCCCAGCCGCTCCGCGGCACGTGGGATCTTCCCGGACCGGGGCACGAACCCGTGTCCCCTGCATCGGCAGGCGGACTCTCAACCACTGCGCCACCAGGGAAGCCCAGTTATCTATTTTATACATAGTATCGATCGTGTATATATGTCCATCCCAATCTCCCAATTCATCCCACCACCCCTCCTTCCCCCTTGGTATCCATACATTTGTTCTCTACATCTGTGTCTCTATTTCTGCTTTGCAGGTAAGTTCATCTGTACCATTTTTCTAGGTTCCACATATATGCATTAATATACGATGTTTGCTTTTCTGACTTTCTTCACTCTGTATGACAGTCTGTAGGTCCATCCATGTCTCTACAAATGACCCAGTTTCGTTCTAGGATGCTGTTAAATGCAATCTGATTTTCCCCTATAGAATTTCATCTATTGCATGGCTAAGAATAAAATGGGATGGTTTTACGTAGAAGAGTGTGAAGACTTTATATAGTTTTAAAAATTGGTTTTAAAATTGGCTGCCCCCTATTGGTAACATGTGGTATATAGTCCACCTGCTAGTGTTTTGTGGTTTTTTTTTTAATCATTTTATTTGGAAGCCCTGATTCAAACAAACAACCAATAAAATGTTTCACAAATTCACTCGGTGATAAGTTTGGCCAACCGTCATCATTTTACAGCTGAGAAATCTGAGGCCCTGAGAGGTAAGGTAGTTTGCGTGTATCCCCACAATTGCCAAGCGGTAGTACCTTATGGCTTCCAGGTTAAATTTATTTCCCTTACCAAGAGCCTCTGTTAACGGAAGCACCTCAGAGGGGCAGTTAGGAATGAAGAGTGGATATGGGGACCACTTGCCTCTGCTGGACCCCTGTGTCTGCCACTCTCCAGCTGGAGAGATTGATTACGTTGGATGTTGTCATCACCCCGTGTGCCTTGGCTTTGCTCGTCTGTGTAATGAGAATTGTTCCTACCCTGTAGGGTGATTGGTAACAACGGATGGGTCTGCTCATTGGAAAGTATTTCCTAAGAACGGTTCCTCTCATGTAGTAAGCATTGAGTAGACAGTAGGTGCTTCTCACCTTATCATGCCCACCCTCACATCACCATCGCCACCACCATCGCCACCACTGTCATCACCGTCATCATGCCATAGATATCACCTTCATCACCATCACCACCGTCATCGTCACCCTCATTATCACCATCATCACCACCATCATCTCCATAATTATCACCTCCATCACCACCATCACCATCGCCTTCATTGCTCTGGACTGAACTTGTGTTCCTCCAAAATTCATGTCTGGAAGCTCCAACCCCCACTGTGTGGCTGTATTTGGAGATCATGTTGTTAAAAGTAATTAAGGTCAAATGAGGTCATGACAGTGGGGTCCTAATCCCATAGGATTGGTGACCTTGTAAGAAACGTATTTCTCCCAGTTCTGGAAGTCCATGGTCAGGATGCTGGCTGACTTGGTTCCCGGTGCGGCCTCTTCCTGGCTTGTAGATGGCCTCCTTCTGATACAGTAGAGAGATCGCTCTCTCTTCCTCTTCTTTTAAGGACACGAGTCATTGGATTAGTCCCAGTCTTAACCTGATTACATCTGCAAGACCCTATTTCCAAATACACTCACAGGTACCGGAGTCTAGGACTTTTGGGGGGGAACACAGTTCAACTCAGTGGGGATGCCATGGAAGGCAGTGGGGGAGTCGGAACACATGAGCAACTGGACGACTATTTCACAGAGCACACTTGGATAACGGTCTCCCACCCCCAGTTGTGGTGGACCTGATAACAGTGAGAAAACTGAGAACGGCGGGTGTCACTTTGCCCTCTCTTCAAGAGCCAGTGAGCAGAAACGATAAGACCAGGGGCATCGATAATTCACAGCCTGGACCAGCACACTCTCCCAATAACATCCCCCACTGTCTGTCTTGTCTTAACCTATTTACTGCAGTCTGAAGCTCTTTCTAGCAATTTGTGACTCTCTACATCCAAGAAGCATGGGGACTTTTTGCAGGAAGCTTTTTTAAGTATAAAGAGAATTCTCTTAAAAGGAGAAGACTGCTTCCACCTTGCACAGTAATCATTTGCTATGAACCTGCGTGTACAAATGTTTGTCAGAGTCCCTGCTTTCAGTTCTTTGGGGGCATTAACCAAGGACTGAAGTTTCTGGGACTTATGGAAATTCTCTTTAACTTCTTAGGGAACTGCAGTACTGTTTGAAATCTAAGGCTTTAAGGACGTTTACTGCAGTCTGAAGCTCTTTCTAGCAGTTTATGCCTCTCTACATCCAAGAAGCCTGGGGGCCTTTTGGAGAAAGCTTTTACTTGAATGAGGGGGCCAGGCTACCTGAGTTTACTGAGAAACTGGAAAGTCATACAGCCTTCCATCTGTGCCCCATACCCCAGGATGAAGCCAGGGAGAGACTCACCTTTCCACATGAAAGCGGAGACACCACACCTAACACAGATACAATTATCTGCACCCACCTCCACCTGGTGAGGACATCAGCTAAGCGCCAGGCTTCCAGCTAGATTCAGGCAACCGTGGATGTGCCCCACCTGGGAATACAGCATTCACGGGCCAGTACCTGGATCTCTCAGCAGAATTAAAGAATATCATGAGCCAAAGCAACGAGGGTTGACTTTGAGTTGACTCAGCTGGGTGTGGCGGGAAGAAAGATGCTCCTAAGCTTAAGTCTTGGGGACAAGAAACTCCTAACTGGACCTCCAGGTGGTTCTGTGCACCCTGACGGGTTGTCACTTGAAAAAGCCCAGTAGGTAGTGTGAGCCCCTTCCCGCTCGACTCCGTGTGGGAAGAACCCACGTCTCCCATCTCCTTTCCTTCCTTGAACTTACGGCCACCTTCTGCACCCAAATTCCTGGCTGGTTACCAGATCATACAATTTCTGTCTGCACCAACGTAACGTGACCTTCCATTCCTTCCATAGGATTTGAAATTGGAATGGTACTTTGTATCACAAGGGGTTCTAAGGAAATGGGAAAGAGTCTGTCGTGTGAAAAAAGAATCAGAGATTGAGAATGGAGAGGTGTCATGGAGAAGGGAAGCAGGGACACAAGAGCACCTTTGGGTGGGTTCCTGGAGAGAGCTGAACACTCCTGCCCAAGACCCCCAACACTCCAATGGACCTGGGGAGGGCTCGGACCAGATGCACTGCTTACACAGCAGGGTCACCGTGAGCTCGATGATGGGCAGAGAAACAGAGAGAGTGGACAAACTTATCAGTGAGCAGACACTGTTACTTTCTTTACATTAAACCTGCAAGATGGGGGTTTCTCCTATCAGTGCTTCATCATTGCATCTCTTGTTGGAGGAGTTCTTTGCAAAGGATATTTTCTCCCTCCTAAGATGCCGTTCCTTTCTACCTGTCTACAGACAGGTGCCAGACACAACGGCAACACTAGGCAACCCGGGCACACGTGGTCTGGACCTGGGCTGCAGCCCAGAGTTTTTAAGTGACTGCCCCAGAGACATGCTCCTTGGCAGAAGCGTGCCAGCTGGACGTGGCTCCCACACAGCTCTGTCTGGACTTACTGGTCCCGGATCCTTTCCAAACCCGCCCTTGGTCCAGCTTCTGCCGAGGTCCTGGCTACCTTACCTTGACTCTGGGTATGAGACACCTGTTCCTGGATCTCCCGCCCACGGGGACACCCTCCTTTCTTAGCCTCTTCGGTCTCTGCACTTTATAAAATTTTAATTGTGGCAAAATATAGATAGCATCCAAGATACCATCTTAACCAATTTTAAGCGTAAAATTCAGTGTATGAATTACATTCAGTACGTGGTACAGCCATCCCCACCATCCATCTCCAGAACTCCTTTCTTCTTGCAGAACTGAAACTCTGTCCCCATTAAAGTGTACCAGCTCCCCTACTTCCTCACCCTCAGCCCCTGGACCCACCATCTACTTTCTGTCTCTATGAATATGACTCCTCGAGGGGCCTCATGTAAGTGGAATCATTAGGTAGTTTTCCTTTTCACTGAGCGTAATGTCTTCAGGGTTCTTCCATGTTGTAGCAGGTGTCAGAGTCCCCTTCCTTTTCAAGGCCGAATAATACCCCATAGTCTGGATATGTCCCTTTTTGTTTATTCATCCAATGGGGGCACTTGGGTTGCTTCTCCCTTTGGGCCGTTGTGAACAGTGCTGTAATGGACACACGTGTGCAGGTATCTCTTCAAGACCCTGCTTTCATGTCTCGTGGGTATATGCGCAGGAGTGGGATTGCTGGATCGTAAGGGTGGTTCTATTTTTAGTTTTTTGAGGCCCCTCCATCCTGTTCTCCATAGTGGCTGCACCATTTTACATTCCCACCTCCAGTGCAGGAGGGCTCCCTTCTCTCCACATCCTGTCACCACTTGTTTTCTGTTTTCTGGATGGGAGCCAGCTGCGTGGGGTGAAGTGGCCGCCTCTGCACTTTGGACTCTTTCCTCTCGCCGATCCCAGGGCAAAGTCACAAGGAGAACTGAAGTTCTTCCTCACGGAAACGCCATCGCATCCCCTTTCTGAGCTACGTGACATGATGTCATCTCTCCAAGCCCGAGGGGGCAACTGGGTGGTCAGCCTGTTTAAAGAGATAAACATGGACATCATTATGACAATTTTCTGGACCTCCAAAGCTGTGTTTCCAAATGTTTTCTTTCCCTGGCCATCACTTAGCTTGTAGCCCGTCACATAGCACAAGTTCTCATACCCGGTGTGGAGTGTGAAAACCCCAGGTGCTTTAGAAGCAGAGGTGAACTGGGTGAGGGCTGATGTGATATGGCCCACATGGGGTGGGTGTTTGGCTTCTGAGACTGCCATAACAAAGTACCACAAAGTACCACAAACTGAGGGGCTTAACCCAACAGAATGTTACAGCCTCACAGTTCTGGGGGCCAGCTAGGAAATCAAGGTGTTGCCAGGGCAGTGTTCCTTGTAAATGCTCTAGAAAACCATCTGTTCTGTGCCCCTGTCCTAGCTTTTGGTAGCCTCACGTGTTTCTTGGCTTGTAGATAAAGAAGCTAGGAGATGTGTATACAATGGAATATTATTCAGCCATGAAAAAGAAGGAAATCTTGCCATTTGGGACAACATGGTTGGACCTTGGGGCCATTAAAGTGAGATAAGTCAGTCACAGAAGGACACATACTGTAGCATCTCACTTACGTGTGTAATCTAAAAAAGCTGAATTCGAGACCCCACTCCCGGGCAAATGTCCAGAAAAGACGAAAACTCTAATTTGAGAAGATACATGCGCCCCTGTGTTCATAGCAGCACTCTACAATAGCCAAGACATGGAAGCAACCTAAGTGTCCATTGACAGATGAATGGATAACGAAGATGTGGTACATGTATACAATGGAATATTACTCAGCCATGAAAAAGAATGAAATAATGCCGTTTGCAGCAACATGGGTGAACCTAGAGATGATCATACTGAGTGAAGTACGTCAGACAGAGAAAGACAGATATCATGTGATATCACTTATCTGTGGAATCTAAATAAAGAATACAAATGATCTTACTTACGAAACAGAAACGGACTCACAGACTTAGAAAACAAACTTATGATTACCAAAGGGGAAAGGGCGGGGGAGGGATAAATTAGGAGTTTGGGATTAACAGATACACACTACTGCATATAAAATAGATAACCAACAAGGACCTGCTGTAGACCACAGGAAACTATATCCAATATCCTATGATAAACCATAATGGAAAAGAATCTGAAAAAAATATGTGTTTAATTGGATCACTTTGCTGTACACCTGAAACAAACACAACATTGTGAATCAACTATACTTTAATTTTTTAAAAAAACAGCTGAACTCACAGAACCAGAGGGTAGAATGGTGGTTGCCAGGGGCAGGGGACGAGCGGAAGGGGAAATGGGTGAAGGTACAAACTTCCAGTTATATGATAAATACGTTCTGGGGATTTCGTGTATGTCATGATGACAGACACACACCAAAAACACAAAACAGGCAGATGGCATTGATTGCCTTGGCCTTTTACCCAACGTAAGAACGTGGGCTGGAACCAGGCGGTTTCCAGATCTTCTTAGTGGTTTGACAGCCTAGCTGTGTCAATTGCACTTTGGGGAAGAGAAAGTCACCATTCAGACTTTGACTAAAGGCTCCAATGGAGCTCATAGCTCATGTGTCACAGCAGCGTTTTCCCTGGCATCTCCTTTGGTTGCCCTTTTTTTTTTTTTTTTTAAGATTTTTTTGATGTGGACCCTTTTTGAAGTCTTCATTGAATTTGTTAAAATATTGCTTCTGTTTTATGTTTTGATTTTTTTGGCCACCAGGCATGTGGGATCTTAGCTCCCCGACCGGGGATGGAACCTGCACCCCTGCGTTGGAAGGCAAAGAACCACTGGGCCGCCAGGGAAGTCCGTGGTCTCCCTTTTGGCTGTTAATCACTATCGCTGATCTGTCATATAAAACGTGAACATGACCATAGCGTGTTATTTTCCTATGCTTTGGACACAGGGTTTTGTTTTGTTTTGTTTTGTTTTTTCTTGCGGTACGCGGGCCTCTCACTGCTGTGGCCTCTCCCGCTGTGGAGCACAGGCTCTGGACGCGCAGGCTCAGCGGCCATGGCTCACGGGCCCAGCCGCTCCGCGGCATGTGGGATCTTCCCGGACCGGGGCACGAACCCGCGTCCCCTGCATCGGCAGGTGGACTCTCAACCACTGCGCCACCAGGGAAGCCCTACAATTTTTTACTCTTGATGAGAACTTTTAACATCTATTCTCTTAGCAACTTTCAAATGTACAATACAGTATTATTAACTATATAGTCACCACAACATATGTTACAACCCCAGGACCTAATCTTTCAGCTGGAAGTTTGTATTGTTTTTATCTTTTCACGGGTGAATTTTTGTTAGCAAAATCCTCCATACTGAGATATACAATTAAAGAGAAAATTAGGAAAATCAGTCTTTATTTTCCATAGGGCATAAAAATTTAGATATTTCAGCAGAAATGTTACAAATTATAAGTTTTAATTAAACATTGGGGCTTTTTAAAGTAAAAATAGAATTCTCTTAAAAGGAGAAGAAGACTGCTTCTCCCATCTGTTGTGAAAAAGATCTAAGGCAGCACAGAGAAGGGATGACCCAAATGAAAAACAACCACCCAGACGATCAGAAATCTCCGCTTTCTGCGCTGGGTCCGGCTTGGCTGGTTGGAATCTCTTGCTTTCAGCCAGCTGTCCTCTAGGTGGCGCTAAAAGCTAAATTTTTTGCAAGTCTCAACTCCTGGGGAGAAAATCCTTTCCAAAGCTGTCCGCCCCGTTTAAACCCCAAACATCTCAGAACCCCTTAACCTGAGGATTTTCAAAAGCCACCACGGATACTAAAATGACCGCGAACCCACAAAAACACTTCCGACCTTTTGCAGAGCAGGTGAAAAAGGCACTTAGCTGTCGCTTTGTGTTTCCTCTGGGGGCCCAGAACCAGCTCATTTATTCATAAAGCAGACGTCTGGGTTCCTGAGGGTCGTTCCCTTGAGTCAATCCTTGAATCCTTTTTTCCATCATTTTATGGGAAAACAGGGACTGAGGGTTTTGCTTCTGAGCAGCAAAGGTAAGCACCAAGAAGAAGACAGCCGTGATAACAGGGCCGTTACTCAGATTCTTTCTTGGTTACAGTGTGTTCATAAAGGACAGAAGTCAGGGAAGACAAGGCTACTGTCTTTATCTACCGGGCGAGGGTTTAAGGCACCTTGTTGATCAATTCAGTGACTAACCTTCAGTGCTTCTGAGACGCACGCACTGGCCAAGCACAGCTGAGTTTTGTGGACCCCCCTTCTCTGCCCACAGGACGTGGACCCTTTGCGGGACCCCCGAGTACCTGGCCCCCGAAGTCATCCAGAGCAAGGGCCACGGGAGAGCCGTGGACTGGTGGGCGCTCGGCATCCTCATATTCGAGATGCTCTCGGGGTGAGTTGGGTTTCCGTGGAGAAGTCTGCGGCGAGTCCCTGCCCCACGCGCTGGCCCTGGGGTGCTCAGCCCGCCCCCAGGATGGGGCACTGGGGGTCGGGGGCAGATTCTCGGGGTCGGGTCGCACGACAGTTTCCCGCTGCTGGTGACGCTGAAATAAATGGCATGTGCCGTCAATCCACCAAGAAGGTGTAGAAACTGTACATCTTTCTGCACCTGTACTTGATCAACTTCCACACTCAAGCCAGCAGCCTACCTTCCCTCCTGTACACTGCTGACCACGAGAGGGCAGCCTTGCCCGAGGAGAATTGAATCCCGGCGCCGAGTCATGTTTAGCAGAATGGGGTCCACGTGTCCTCTGTTTTGTCTTTATTGTTAGCTTGGACTGTAATAGTACAGGATATAATAATGCGGAATATCATTAGGAGAGGCAAGGTTGGAATATAATATACTGTTAGAACACAGTATTGATGGACTATAATAGAAAATTATTAAAATAGAGTAGAATAAAGTAGGACAGGGTAGAATTAGAATATAATATTAGGATATACTAGAATTATTATGAGAGTTATTATATAACCATAATTATTAGAATTCTATTTTAATAGCAGCTATTTTAATAGTAACTAAGATACTATTAGGATATACTATATTAAAATAATATTCTAATTACTGTTGGGATGTAGTATATTAAAATATTAGAATATTAGGAAACAGAAAATATTCTATTCCAGTAGAAGGTTAGCCATACGGTAGTTCTAGTATTCTCAGAGAATATTAGGAATTCAGTAGAAAATAATGTCATTAGAATCTATTACTAGGCCCTGTTATTAGAATAATTGGAGGTTAATAGTTCAAACCCTCTCCTAACCCAGAACACCGTAAGCTGAACTTTGCATTTCATAAAAGGGAACTGTTAGTTCACAGTCGGCGTATTTTTGTTTGCCACATTTCCAGTTAGAGTCAGGCTTGTCTGGGTGGTATTTCCAGAGACACCCGTCCCTGCCCCACACTGCACGCCTGGCTGACCCGGGGCTGCCCCTGAAGTCTGGCCAGCCTCTGCTCTCACCTGGACCCGCCCCGAGTGTCCTCACGTCTCCTCCAGCTGCCCCTGCCCGTGGCACCTTCCCCTGGCAGCCACCGGAGGGGTCTCTCACCGACACCGGCCAGGCCACGTCCTTCTCCCTAGCAGCCCTCGAGGGGACAGACCCAGAGCTCCTTGTTATACGAGGCTCTGAGTCGGTCTGTAGAAGATCTACCCACCTTAGACAGAGGCCTGGCCTCTCTCCTGGGATTGCGGGCCTTCCTGCTGTGCCTCCAGCACCCGATGTGGCATTGCTGTCCCTCTCTGTGCCAGCTGCCTGAGGGCATCCCCCCCGGCCGGTCCCTTCTCTTCCGGTCCTCACGATTCAGGCTCACCTGTAACCTGCCCTCAGAGCCTTCCTCCGCTGCTCCCAGCCACGCTCCGCCCTAGCACCCCTTTCTGTTCTCTCTGGAGCGCTCAGTGGATCTGACACCATCTGCTTCCGTGTGTTCACTGCCCACGAGATCACTGGGTGGTGCAAGTTGCTCTTCTCACCCCCTTGAACCCAGACGCCTTTGGTGGCCAGTGGGAGGGAGTTCTTATATAGATGGTGGAGGTGGCCTTTTCTTCCAAGTTCCCGTCTCCCGCCTGCCTGTTGGATTTCCATTTTCTGTTTTGGCACCTTTAGCAAGATCAGGCTAGACTCTGCCTTGTCTGTTTGCTTATTGCTTTCATTGGTGGGTGAAATGTTCCATGAAGTACGAGAAGTACATTTGTTGGGTACAACCAGCCACGTGATTAGGTATGAGAGCATGTCATAACTGGGATTTTATTTTCATCGAGTAAGAAATGTTTCGCTTGGATTGAAAACAGGTGGCCCATTCATGGGCTTTTCCAAGAGCGCCCAACTCAGCCCTGATGTCTTCCATCATCTGTTCCTTTCATATCCACCCATGTGGAGAGTTTCAGTCGCACGCCTGTTCTTCAGGAAGATGGAACTAGTCTGCATTTGGAGCTGCATCCATGTAGAACATTAGCTGCGGTGCAGTGGTTCTCAAAACATTTCAGCCACAGGACCCTAAAAGTTTTCAGTAAGCATCTGTCCTAAAAGAGACTCCCTTCCTAAAAGTTATGAAAATGCCCCTAAATGTTAGTATCGACCCCAAAGAGCTCTCATGGAGGCAGGTTGTATCTGTCAATGTTTACCACATTTGAAAATTAAACTGAGATTATATATGTAAGTTTATAAGTTTATACGTAAAAGCATAAGGTGATAAACTAATGGTTAACATAAATCAAATTTTTAATGAAAAAATAACTATTTCCTAGTATTAAAAATAGTTAGAGAAAACAGTGACGTTGTTTCACATGTTCATTAGTCTCTTTTATGTCCAGCTTCATTGTGGGCCACTGCGCTCTTCCCTTCTCTCACACTCTGTCTGGTGTGATTCGTTGTTTTGGTTGAGGTATGTGATGAAAATGCAGCCATATTCAGATTTATAGTCAGAAAAAGGGTGTCACAAATCTGAAAAGGCCTCGAGGAACCCGAGGGTTCCCTGGGACCCCACTTTGAGAATCACAGCTGCCATGCCAAAGATAGGGTGCCCCGGGACACTCTCTCACGCTACAGTCTGCCCGGGTGTTTCCTGGCCCAGTACTTTGTTCTTGCCCCTTTTTCTGAGGAGCTCAGATATTTGTTTTATAGGAATGTATGAGGCCGAGGACCTTGGAGGGAGAAGTCAAAATAGGGCGATACTATAGCAGCCCATCTCTTACTTCTCTCTCCAAAAACTCTTCTTTTCCTTGAAGCCATTTCCAAAGTACCTGCCTTGCAAGGTACTTTCCCTGTTAAAATGGGCTCATAGTTTGGGACCATCATTTTGTTTTTGTTTTTTGGCCACATCCTGTGGCATGCGGAACTTCCCGGACCAGGGATCAACCCCCCCGTGCCCCCCTGCAGTGAAAGCACGGAGTCTTTTTTTTAGATAAATTTGTGTATTTGTTTTTTTATTTGTGGCTGCGTTGGGTCTTCGTTGCTGTGCGCGGGCTTTCTCTAGTTGCGGCTAGCGGGGGCTACCCTTGGTTGCGGTGTGCGGGCTTCTCATTGCGGTGGCTTCTCTTGTTGGGAGCACGGGCTCTAGGCACACGGGCTCAGTACTTGTGACTCGCGGGCTCTAGAGCGCAGGCTCAGTAGTTGTGGCGCACGGGCTTAGTGGCTCCGCGGCATGAGGGATCTTCCCGGACCAGGGCTCGAACCCGTGTCCCCTGCATTGGCAGGTGGATTCTTAACCACTGCACCACCAGGGAAGCCCAAAGCCTGGAGTCTTAAGCACTGGACTACTGGGGACGTCCCAGGACCATCATTTTGTAACGGGTCTCTGGGGGTCTGATGAGGAACGCAAGGTCACAACAGCGACAGCGCCTGTTTCTGGACAATCCATTTTTTTTACTGGAAGATTTAGGTAGGTCGAAGGTATCTAAAAAGAATCCAGATAGATGATGGAGAAAATGGCAAAATTGGCATGAATTTTTCAGACGAAAGTCTCGAGCCTGCCTTCACGGGGATGGGCAGCTTGTCCTTCTGACTACATCTCATCATGGACAACGCAAGGTGTACATAACGCCCACTTCTGTATGACAAGCACCCGTTTATTAAGAATTGGAAGGATTCTGTTGGATTAAAGGCAGAGATTTGAGGGCACTTTCTTTGGCCACTTTCCACACGCCGAGTTCTCCGATACGCCTTCTCCGTGCTTTTTCCTTCAGGCAAGATGTGTTAGTGCTCTCCCTTATTATTTTTTCCGCTCGCTAAACTACTGCTAACATGCCTTTCCCATGATAGTGTCATGTAATGCCAGCTCCCCCAGAGTACTGCGTTCCACATTCTCCACGCACGTGGGTAGGTATGTATGACACATTTTCTCCATGAGGACCTCGTCTCAGACCCTTCACTTCATCACATCTGCAAAAACTCTGTTTCCATATAAGGTCCCATTTAGGTAGTCAGGGTGAGGACACGGGTGTAACTTTGGAGGCCACCATTCCACCTGTGATACACTGTTTCTTTTTAAAAAAACATGAGGAGTTGATTTGGAATCAACACGAGAATTATTTTTGATCATTGAGATTTGCCATCAATCAGACCATCATTTGAAAACTCCCCTTCATATTTCCATTGCTTATTCTACTGAATTAGAAGACCTCTTTCTAAAGAAACTAAATAGAGGTTTTGCTTCCGAGTAGAAGGTCTTTGCCTTGAATACTCTGAGGAAGTATTAAAGTATACCTTGTGCCCAGGGACATGTGGATATCTGGTATGCATTTAGTGGTTTACTTCTAGAGTTGCTTGGTCTTCACAGTTGTAAGTATATTTCTTCTTTAGCTTATGTCACATTGTTTTGTTTTTCTATTTCCAGATGTTAGAAAGGTTAGGTCTGTTAGTTTCTCTAACTAGACTATAGTCTTTAATTGTGGTAACACTGCCACAGAGGATACATAAGTGTATGGCATGGCTGTGTGCCAGTACAACTTTATTGACAAAAAGAGGCTGTGGGCCATCATTGGCCAACCCCTAGTGTAGATCTCTGTGCCTAAAATCGCAAACTGGAAACCAGCCTTGCTGTCACTCACCTCCCAAAGTAGGATGGAGGTGAATTCATCGACTGTGGAGATTTACATATTGGCTTCTGTAAAGTTATGAAGTACTCGAGCCAAAAAAATATGATACAGTGTAACCTATCCTCTTACATTTGGCCTGTGTACACTTATTGAGCACCTACTGTGTGCTACACACTCCCGTATGCAGGAGGGATACAAAGAGGTCCACTCATGGTCTAGTTGGGGAGACTTTTTTTTTTTTTTTTTTTTTTTTGCGGTACGCGGGCCTCTCACTGCTGTGGCCTCTCCTGTTGCGGAGCAGCAGGCTCCGGACGTGCAGGCTCAGCGGCCATGGCTCACGGGCCCAGCCGCTCCGCGGCATGTGGGATCTTCCCGGACTGGGGCACGAACCCGTGTCCCCTGCATCGGCAGGCGGACTCCCAACCACTGCGCCACCAGGGAAGCCCGGGGAGACATTTTTAATGGCACCCTAGTAACCTCATAGTTGGTCAGATGGCCTCATGGTCATTGCCTTTTCTTTGCTGGCCCATCCTCTGTACTTGGGCTGCGGTGCTTCACGCTTGGCCTCTTGGAACCATGTCTTCGAAGCTGGTGTCGAGCCATCCATGGACTCCAGGATGCGGGGAAAGAGCTGCGGTGAAATAAATTCTGTTCTGCTCGGGTCAGGCAGAAAGAGTCATCCTTACCAAGCAGGGGTGTTTTCCACACTTGCTCGGCACTAAAAATAGATGTTGATGTTTCTAACAGGTTTCCTCCGTTTTTTGATGACAACGCATTTGGCATTTACCAAAAAATTCTTGCAGGCAAGATCGATTTCCCCAGGCATTTGGACTTCAGTGTCAAGTAAGTAAACCGTTCCCTCCTCATCGGGTGTGTTTATTTTTAAAGCATCTAAGAAACCCCAGTTATGGCATCTGCCGAGCGGGGTACCATCCTGTGTTATTCTCTGTGCTGGGCTGAAGCTGTTTTGACCGGTCATTTTTTCCACCAAAAGGGAAGAGGTTTTCATGACTCTGCTGGGATGAGACTTCACCTTTTAACGACTCTCAGCCCTATTTTATACCGTTTAAAATAAATGACACTTACAATTAGCGAATAAAGGCGTTTGTTATCATATTTAATAAGAGAGCTGTTTTGTTATTTGATAAGAAGGATGTCCTTCCTCCCAGTTAGTGTTGCAGTTGGCACAAGTGTTGATGGCTTTAGCAGAGTTTATCTTTTCTCTCCTGCTTAAATTATTTTCATTCTTAAAGTCCTTTCTCCTGCTAGAATTTTGAGTTACGCCCTCGTTGTTTCAAGAACTTTTGCATTGCTTCAGTGTTAAACTTTGGGTGTGCATTTTTGTGTCAGTGGGAGGAAAAGCTAAATTTTTTAAAAGATAAGAATGCTTTAGGTTTTCCAATGATTTTTCCAACGACCTTGCTCTGTGTGTCAGCTTTTAGCCATTTGCACCGTTGTGAGTCCTAATTTCTAGCTGTTCTACTGTATTTCCCAGATACATTGATAGGTGCTTCAAACCTCTTCTGATCCCCAAATGGGGTTTAATTGTGTTTAGTTGAGAACTAAACTTTTCTCTCTTTTTTTGCTACATATTTTTAAAGTAACCTGTTAAGTTCAGGGAAAACTTATTTCATGACAGTGATCAGCTGTGATCCTGGGGCCGCTGGCTGCATCTAGTTTTGTTTCACCTTAAACAGCGATGCTCAGTATGGACCAAGGATGGTGTTCTTCTTGGTTCGTGTGGGCTGGAGCTTGTGTCGTGTTTGACCCACCAGCTAGGTTTTAAAAGATTTTAGCAAGAAAAGGAGGCTCCAGTTAGACATAAATTATCCGGAAGGGAGACTTCTGTGTCCTGAATGGTCCGACAGTAAGGTGACAAGGGGAATACATACAGCACTCAAAAGTCTATTGCTCTAGAAAGAAATGAAGAAATATGGTCTAGGATTTCTCTCCCAGGCTCCAGATCCCATCAGTGTTGAGTGACATTGTTTCGAATGGATGGCAAAGCACTTTAAAAATTGAGTTATAGGGGAGGGGTGGGGAGGGACGAGGAAGGATCGGGGGAGGGTATTAAGAGAAGACAAAATAAAGAGGAAAAAAATAAAGTTGAGTTATAAATGTATCAACGATTGACCAATGGTATGATCAGATTAGCGCCTACTCACACCCATGGGCACTGCTAGTTGACGGCCCCTGTAGACTCCCTGGACTTCTCCTGGGTACACCTGGGGCTTGTAAACACCCGCTGCATGTTGGCGGGACCTGCCCGCGATGGGTGTGACTTCGCTGTTGCCATGGGTGCACGTGCTCCAAGCAAGATAAATATGAACTACCTCCTGTGTCCTCATAGGCTGCTTCTTTCTTTTGTAAACTTGTGACAGTCTTAGGCAACACAGATCATCAGACTGGATCCCCTTCCTCTTTCAAGGAAGGACTTGAATTCTTCCAGGAGATGTTTCCCCAGGAGAAGGGAAGATCCATAAATCTTAGGTCATTTATTTGCTTCTGTTAATATATGTATTTGTAATGGTTAAAATAGTAAATTTTATTTCTATTTTACCACACTTTTTTTTTTTTTTTTTTAAGTACGCGGGCCTCTCACTGTTGTGGACTCTCCCGTTGCGGAGCACAGGCTCCGGATGCGCAGGTTCAGCGGCCATGGCTCACGGGCCCAGCCGCTCCACGGCATGTGAGATCTTCCCAGACTGGGTCACGAACCCGTGTCCCCTGCATCGGCAGGCGGACTCTCAACCATTGCGCCACCAGGGAAGCCCTACCACACTTTTTTTATCCATTTTGTTTTATTGAAGCGTAGTTGACTCACAGTGTTGTGTTAGTTTCAGGTGTACAGCAAAGTGATTTGGTTATACATACACACATGTATGTATATACATATAAATTCTTTTTCAGATTCTTGTCCATTATAGGTTATTACAAGATATTGAATATAATTCCCTATGCTATATAGCAGGTCCTTGTTGTTTATTTTATATACGGTAGTGTGTATCTGCTAATCCCAAACTCCTAATTTATCTCCCCTCCACCCCCTTTCCCAATAAGTCTGTTTTCTATGTCTGTGAGTCTGTTTCTGTTTCATAGATAAGTTCACTTGTATCTTTTTTTTTTTCTTCTGGCCATGAGCGCAGCATGTAGGATCTTAGTTCCCCGACCAGGGATTGAACCCATGCCCCCTGCATTGGAAGTGCGGAGCCCTCACCACTGGAAGGGAAGCCCCTGTATCATTTTTTAGATGCCACATACAAGTGACATCATATATTTGTCTTTCTCTTCTGACTGACGTCACTTAGTATGATCCCCTCCAGGTCCATCCACGTTACTGCAAATGGCACAATTTCATTCTTTGTTACACTCACGTCCGTATGTAGAGTACGTGTCCAACGTTTCGTGAACAAGAGGATGTTATAGAAAGAGAACAGACCTAAGCATAATCTCCGTCCGGTCTCCTGCCAACTCCCCGTCTTTTTCTCCTAGTTTACTTTCAAGAGAGAAGCAGCAGAGGCTGTTCTGGAATCCTTGGTGAGGGTGAGGGTGAGGGTGAGGGTGAGGGCTCACGTGCGCAGCTCCAGGCGCTTCCTCTCACGTCCCCAGTTGAGGGGGCTCAGCAAGGGCAGAAACCTGGGACCCTTTGCTGCTCTTGATGATGGCCGATCATAGTTGAGTAAAGCTTTACTCCTTCACGTTTCTGCCTAGATCTTCATGAGCTGGCTGAGAAGCAGAGCCCGAAGGAGTGATTTCCTACCCAAATGACTGTCACCAGGTGGCCCTGAGGGTAGAATTTTGACTGAAGTTTTTCAGGTCCTTTGTGGGTTCCTGCAGCCTCAGCGTTGGACCGTGTCAGCGTGTTGGCCTGGGCAAATGTCTCTTTGGACGAAGCTTCAGGTTTCCTTGCAGGAATATGTATAACGGCAAAGGAAGTAAAAGCTTTGGGGCTTGGTGCCGACTTGGTAGAACTCATATTTATTTACAAGTGTTTCTCTGTGTCTGAAAGTGGTCGAGGAGAAGCCAGCTGGCACCCGGGGAGTCGGTAGGATTCAGAATTTCAGCCTCGATGAATCAAGGGCCTGCCAGTGGACTCACAGCCATTCCAGGATGGAGGTGCCCACCTGCCACGTCTTGGATGCTTGCAGAGTTCCTACGTGGCTTTGACATATCGGGTGGCCCCTTTTCCTTTGCACCTTTTGCCTTCAGGATTGAGCTGTTTCGCAAAGATCTAAATTTATATATTAAATAAATCTTTGATTTTCTTGTAATCCTGGGACTGGCAGCTTTAAGGATATGCACTCATGGGGCTGAGGGTGCTGTAAATAATAGGGAAAAAGAGGAAAAAAAACACATGGATTTGGGGATATTTTGGGAGTGTGGTGTTTGGTGACCTTGTTTTTTTTAGTTTGTTTCTTTGGTATGTCAAAATAATGAAGGGGAGACTCACTAAGTATAGGAAAGGTACCTTCATTTCTCAGTGCTTTTGTATCCCTCTGCCTTGCACAAGAGTAAATTTCCTCTGTTTTCGATGGACACATCAAAATCCTAGCCTTAAGGCTAAATCCTAGCCTTAGGTGAGCCAGTGTTCTTGGGTTTTCTCTTTGAGATGGATTTGGGAGAACGTCTAGAAGGACTCCAGTTCTACTTAAGGATACCCAGTGTTGGGAAACTCTGTGTTACAGTTATACCTTAACAGGGTTTGATCAGTGGGAACCTGGGAGATTTCACAGTGCAGATGTGAGGAGCCCTGGGTCCCTGGTCCCTCATTTATCACCTGACGCATCTGAGCCTCCTTAGCTGGTCACACAGCGCCCAGGGCGTAGCTGGAGCCTGGTTTTGTGATGATCACCCCGGGGCATCGCTGGATTCAGGAAAGCTGAGATGCTTAAAGCTGAGTCGGGGGTGTTTGATTGTCCTGGAAAACATCCTTATATGCTTGAAGTCCCTGGATATTATTATACACAGCATAGTCAGCATATTAGATACTTAAACACACACATTATACTTTTTATTTCCTTAACTGTTACTCTGAGAGCTAGCCCATCTTCTGGAAGTCTTGAAAACCATCTCCAGTTTCCCATCATAGTTGACCGTCCTGCTGTATTCTGATACTGCCTACAATTTATTTATTTATTTTTAAACAAGATTATTTATTTATTATTTAATTTATTTTTGGCTGTGTCGGGTCTTAGTTGCGTCACGCGGGATCTTTTGTTGAAGTGCACGGGCTCTTCGTTGCAGCGTGCAGGCTTCTCTCCAGTTGTGGCGTGCAGATTTCCTCTTCTCTAGTTGTGGCGTGCAGGCTCCAGGGCGCGTGGGCTCTGTAGTTGTAGCACACGGGTTCCAAAGGGCGTAGGCTCTCTAGTTGAGGCGTGTGAGCTCAGTAGTTGCGGCACGCAGGCTTAGTTGCTCCGCGGCATGTGGGATCTTAGTTCCCTGACCAGGGATCAAACCCGTGTCCCCTGCACTGGAAGGTGGATTCTTTACCACTGGACCACCAGGGAAGTCCCCCGTCTGCTCTCTAGAGGGAGGATCTCAGTGAACCAGCACACACGAAAGGGATCCAATAAGTTTACGTGCTTACGGGAAGGCAAGGATGGCCAGACAAGAATCTCACAGATAAACAGACCCACAGGGCAAAGCGAGACCATCGATTTTGGTAAAAGCGCATGTCGTGTAGTCGGCGGGGATGGCCTGACTCGTATGTCTGAAATGAAGCCTCACCATCCCCAGGGCAGGCACATTTTCTCTTGCTCCGGGGCTATTCTTCTCTACGATGATTTAATCAACCTCTTCCCCTTAGCTAGGTCCCTCTCGCAGCTCTGCGCCGCAGAAATCATTTAGGAACAGATAATGGTTAGAGAGAAGCGTCAGAAAGCGTTCAGCCAGTGTGAACCACTGCGCCCGTGTCCACGTTGTACGGTGTGGATTTTACTACTGTTGACCTGCTGTGTTTGCATGGGTCCGTATCAACATGTCTGCGTTTCTGTCTCCGTCTCCCCAACAGAGACCTCATTAAGAAATTGCTTGTTGTCGACAGAACAAGGAGATTGGGCAACATGAAGGTGAGTGTTTCCGTCCGTATATGTTAAGTGGTATTCGTTATAAGTGCCTGTCATATTCAGTCATTGGTCAGAGTCCAAATCTGGGTTTCTGGGGCCTGCAGAATCAAACTGGGTCTACACCCCATCTCCTTGTCTCTCCAAAGGAGCCAGTGACTCAACAGTGATCTGTAGGTTACGAATCATGACTTTATTTACTTTCATATTTTTAAACAACGTTGTTGAGGTATAATTCACATGCCATCCAGTTTACCCGTTTTAAAGTGGACAGTCCGATGGCTTGTAATGTATTTGCAGAACTGTGCCATCACCACAGTTTTAAAGCACATGCTCATCCCTTCCAAAAGAAGCCCATATCCTGTATCCTGTAGCTATCACCTCTCTATCCTTCTATCCCTCCTGGTGGTAGGTAACCACTAGGCTACTTTCTGTCTCTATAGATTGTCCTATTCTGAGCTCTCATGAAAATGGAATCATACAAAACATGACCTTTTGTGTCTGCTTCTCTCACTGAGCATCGTGTGTTCAGGGTCCATCCACGTTGCAGCCTGTGTCAGAGCTTCTCTCCTTGTCCTGGCTGAGTCCTATTCTACTGTGTGGATGGACCCCGTGCTGTGTATCCATCCATCCGTCCATGGACACTTGGGCTGTTTCCACTTTTTGGCTGTTATGAATAGTGCTGCTGTAAACATGCATGTGCTGGTTGGTGTGTGAATTCATCGTCATTTTGGAAGCTGTACACCATGTGTGCTTTTGTCAAACTTTTCATCTGGAGGGAAATAACGTGGAAGGAGCTGACTTGTATGAACTGTGATATTGTATATGCCTGTCTTGGTTCTGTTTTGGCACTGCTGAATTTGAGACAAACCAGGGACATCTTCTTAGCTGTTTCTAGCTCTGGATGTCTGTGGATAAACTTAGACGTGGACCAGTGCATTGACCCTGTCAGTTGCAGTCTTGAGGGACAAAGTAGACCCGTGTGTGAGACTTGAACCCCGCAGATCTTTTGGGGCCCTCTGTTTATGTGGGTGTGTTCATTTCCTGGGGCGGCTGTAACAAAGGACCACAAACCGTGAGCTTAAAACCGCAGGAATCCATCCTCCCCCATCCTGGAGACCAGACGTCTGAGGTCCAGGTGTCCCAGAGCTGTGCTCCCTCCAGAGGCTCCAGGGGAGGGTCCTTCCCGCCTCTTCCAGCTTCTGGGGGCTCCAGGCGTCCCTGGGCTTGTGGCCGCCTCCCTCCTGTCTCGGCCTCTGTCTTCCCGGGGCTTCTCCTCTGTGTCTGTGTCTCTCCTCTTCTGTGTCTTGTAAGGACACTGTCATTGCATTTAGGGTCCACCCCAATGACTTCATCTTGACTTGTTTACATCTACAGAAACCTTGTTTCCAAATAAAGTTACATTCACAGGTGCTGAGGAGTAGGGCCTCAACATGTCCTTTCATGGGGAGCACAGTTCAATACATAACTTGTTAAATTGGTTGGCTAGTTAAGGCTACTTATGGAGATTGGCTCATGTGTTGAGGTCCTTAAGGGAGGGGAGTAAACGCTAAGTGGTTGTATATCACTGGTGAAAGGAACAGATCTGTGAAAAAGGATGGTTGTTCATCCAGTAACGGGATGTGTTTCTCCTCCTGGCGCTCCTTCATTTGCAGTGTTTCTCTTTTTATTTCCCAAACAGACCATTGTGTTTATCTCCTTCATCCTCTGTGGACACTGCTCTGTCCTCCACACTTGGAAAGTTTCTAGCACTTACTTTCTCTTTCACTTCTTTGTCTATTTGTTGTATCTGTCTATCTATCATCTATGTCTATCTATATGTCTGTCATATTCCATCGTCTATCTACCTATATATCCGTCATCTATCAATCATCTATCTAGATATCTCATCCATCTATCTCTCCATTATCTATCAATTTATCTGTCATCTACCTGCCTGTGTATCTATCACCTATCGTCTGTTATCTTCCATCATCTATCATCTCTGTCTGTTATCTATTGAACACCTACCTACCTAACTTTCATCTATCATCTATAAATGTATCTATCTAAATAGCTCATCTTCTGTCCTCTACCGTCATCTACATCTATCTCTCTGTCATCTCTCTAGATATCATAAAACCTGAGTATCCATACTGAGTTTGAACTTTGAGGGAGTAAACCTGCAGTCCCATTTACCTTCTCTCAGCGTCCCTCAAGGTAACATTTATCAGATGTCATCGTTTGACTTACATGTGGATGGAAAGAAATAGGAAAAGGAAAAGAGTTTTCAAAATGATAGGACTGGAAAAAAGTGGAAAACATTGACATCCCCATCTCCTTCCTTTTGGAGATATGGTTACAGAGAATTTTCTTTTTTGAGGATAAATCACTTGAAACTTTAAAAAATATGAACTGATACACGTTTTAAAAAGTTAACTTCAGATGCACTGGCTCCTGTGTCACAGACTTCTCATGTTTCTGTCTTATAACTTCGCGCATTTAATTGATTAAAAAGTTGCTACAAGTGTCGTAAAAAAGGAGAAGAAAGGTGCAGCTGAAGGCTGAGAACTTGGAAGGGATTTTCAGAGGTCCTGGTACTGGTGGTGGCTCCCGTCCAGCTATTGACAACACAGCTGAGGATGAACTAGACAGACCTTAGTACACGTTGGTTTTTGTGTTTTGTTTTTAATTTTTTTTGGAGTAGAGTTGATTTACAGTGTCGTGTTAGTTTCAGTTGTACGGCAAAGTGAGTACGTATGTGTGTATCCACTCTTTTTTAGAGTCTATTCCCATATAGGTTATGACGGAGTATAGAGAAGCGTTCCCTGTGCTGTACACATTGTTGATTGAGAGGCAACGTTGGGTAGTTGTTAAAGTCTCTGAAGTTTGACATGCTCAGTTTGAGTTATAGACTTACTCGCTGGGCAATACAGAGCAAATGACATCATTTAATGAATCTCAGTTTATACATTTCTAAAGTGAGCGTAATTTCACCTGAGGAAATTGTCAAGATGAAAACAGGTGTCAAACTCAGACCTGACCGCGTGTCAGTCTAATTTTATGTCAAGAGGCTGAATCATAATTATACTTCGGTCTTTGGTCCAGAGCGGTATACACGTGAACCCCGTGACCGGATTTCTTTCTACGACAAAGGAAAGCAAATGAAACTCAAATGCCTTCGTCTGTAGTTTTCCCTAATAGCTCACACTCTGGGCACAGTGATTCCAAACATAGCAAACTCTTGTTTTTCTCCGTAGGGCATCACGTAGAGGTTCTTTTGGAATATTTTCTTTCCTATCCTGTCAACCTTCCGTTCACTGATGATGCATGTTTCTTTTGCAGAATGGAGCAGAGGATGTGAAACGGCATCGGTGGTTCCGGACCATGGATTGGGAGACTGTCCCAGAAAGGAAACTGAAGGTACAACATACTTAAATGGGCAGTTCGTCCCTGGGCAGCCTGGAGCTCTCCTGAGCTCTCATTCACTTAGGATGGACACATAATGAATTGATTCGATACAAGCAACCATCCCAAATCATTAATAAGCCAAGTTCCCTGTTCAGGGGAGAGCTCAGCTAAAGAGTCACCTAATGGGGGGTTCAGACCCCACTTGTGCAGTTGGGTTTTTGGAGAACTGGCTCCATCCGTCCCTGGCTCTGAGACTATGATGAATCTCATCTGTTCCCTTTCTAAGGGGGAATAACACAGGTAGGACGTATGTCTCATACTTATGGACGGATATGGCACAGTGATGGGGGTAGCTTAGATGGAAAGTATTCTGAGGCCCATCTTTCTTTGAACTTAATATGTGATTGACGGGTATCCTCAACAGCAATGTTTTCAACGTTGCACTTGGGCGCCAGTGGAGAGACTTAAAAAATGCTAATGCCTCGCCCCCAGCCCAGACTCTAGGGGTGGAACCGATATTCATTTTATTCAAGGTTTTAACTTTTATGTATTTTATTCTATTACACTGACTTACAAAATTGCCTAAGTAATATATTCGCATTGTTCAAAAACCCAATCAATATTAATAGGTATACATGGCCAGGCTGTCCCCTCCCAGCTGGCTATAGGTAACCACTTTCATTAGATTCTTCTGTGTATCCTTTAAAAGTTTCTTTAGGTTAATGTAAACTCAGGTGGATACACATGTTCTTATTTTCTCCCTTTTTTAAAAAAAGTATTTGTTTTTATTTATTTATTTATTTGGCTGTGTCGGGTCTTTAGTTGTGGCACGCAGGCTCTCTAGTTGTGGTGCGAGGGCTCCAGAGCACTCGGGCTCAGTAGTTGTGGCACACGGGCTCTCTAGTTGTGGCACACAGGCTCTAGAGCACGTGGGCTTAGTTGCCCTGCGGCACGTGGGATCTTAGTTCCCTGACCAGGGCTCGAACCCATGTCCCCTGCATTGGAAGGTGGATGCTTAGCCACTGGACCACCAGGGAAGTCCTTCTCCCTTTTTTAAAAACACAAAACCTACAGTTATACATGCGCTATTCTAATTTTGCTTTTTTCATTTAACGATACAACCTCGAGATCTTCCCATATGCCTGAATAGCTTTCTCATTCTTTTTAAACCGCATGGAACTCCTTGACATGTCTCTACCATCGTTTACTTATCCAGACCTCAACTGACAGACACTTAATGCCGATTCCAGTCTCCTAAAAGGAATAATTTCATACATTTCTTTTGTGTTGAAGATGAATTTCCAGAAGTGAGATCCTTGGGTCAGAGGGCAAATGCGTTTGAAATCTAGGTTCTTTTGCAGCATACTTCCCTGTAGAAATGACATCCTTTTGTGCTCCCAGGGAACTTGTTCTGAAAAAATGCCTCTTTCCCCCCAGCTCAAGAGTGATGAGTTATACAACTTTTGCAGTTTTGCCTAACTGATGGTTTAAAACAGGTATCTCTGTGTGACTTTATTTTTATATCTTTTTAAAAGTTCATCAAGTGATTCCAAATATGCCACCCAGATAGAGATACTCCCCTGGAGCCGTTGACTGGGCTGGAAGGTTTCTGAAAGTCAGAATCATGCACCTTCTGTCCACGTGGTGCCTGGTTTATAGAAATAGCTCATTGATTGAATGCAGTGAGAAAGAATGAAGGAAAAGTCACCATTAAACTTACTCTGTGACTTTTAAAATCTTTATAAATCCTTAACCTCTTTTATGGAGCCAACCTAAGATCTGTTCATGCGTGGGTTGGCCCGTTTGGGGATGGGAGTTGTCTGCTGTGCGTATAAAGCGTGAACCTCACTAATTAGGCTTTCTGGCACGGAACTTCTGAGTCAGATGAGGAACGTGGCACCTTCACCTGAAGTTCCTTGATGTTTCTGAGATGCTGACCACTCCATAGTCTTTGCACTTTGATACACTCACCGAAATATACAAGTGACAAGAGGGTTTTCTTCCTTTTTTTTTTTTTTTTACATGAATAATTTTTAATTTACTTGACTGATTTCTGTGTCCACATAGCAGTTAAAATGTTCCCCCCTGGGATCCACGTATGAGCGCATGCTCTGTCAGGATTCTCCAGCTGCATCTGCTTTGCTGTGGTCTGTTAGGAAGCGCGGAGCTTTGGGACAGGGACAAATCTAGGTCCTCGTCCTGGACTTGACTTGAGGATTCTAGCATCATGAGCCTCAAGTGTCTTGTGAAACATCCAGGTTAGGATCCATCCTGCAGAGGAAGGGAGAGAGGGGTGGTGCTCACCACGTGTGTTAAAGGCTCTGGACAAAGCATAACAGTTTCATAGGATTAGAGAAAACTAGTTGGTGTCTGTGTGTGTTACAGAATCTTGGAGTTGGATGTATGCAGGAATCAGCAAAGTACAACCTGTGGGCCAAATCTGGCCCCTTGCTTGTTTTTTATAAATAAAGTTTTATTGGCACATAGCCACATCCATTTGTTTACAGATTGTCGATGGCTGCTTTCCCACTGCAATGGCAGCACTGAGTAGTCGCAACAGAAGTTGTATGGCCTGAAAAACAAAATGTTCTACTAACTGGCCCTTTATGGGAAAAGTTTGCTGACCCTCTTCTCAATCCCAATGCCTTCATTTTTATCAATGCAGGATTGTGGCTTGGCCTCTGAGATAATAAAACCCAAGTCTGGAGCTCTTTCCATCTTTCTGGAATTTTCCAAAGTGTGGCCACAGGACCAGCTGCATCAGAATGTCCCCGACCTGGGAATCTGAATTTCACAAGCAGTCCAGGTGGTCCTCAGTTCTAGAATTTAAGAAGCAAGTGCTGAATTTCACAAGCAAGTCCAGGAAGCACAGAGACTCACATATATCATAAACTCTAGGAAAAACACACCAAGACACATATTAATCAAACTAACAAAAATTTAATTCAGGCATAAGCAAGGAGAGACCTTCAAGATGGTGGAGGAGTAAGACATGGAGATCACCTTCCTCCCCACAAATACATCAAAAATACATCCACATGTGGAACAACTAGTACAGAACACGTACTGAATGTGGGCAGAAGACCTCAGACTTCCCAAAAGGCAAGAAACTCCCCCACGTACCTGGGTAGGGCAAAAGAAAAAACAGAGACGAAAGCGCTTGCAATATCTTTAATTCCAAGCTTTTCCTGTTCATAAACAAAGAAAAGTAGCTCTGTTGTTTTCCAGTTCTTTTTACATTTTTACATAAAGTTGTAGACATAGAGGGATGTATGGGTAGACCTCGGAGATACTGTAAGCTTAGTTCCAGAGTACCACAATAAAGCGAGTCACACTAATTTTTTGGTTTCGCAGCACGTATAAAAGTCATGTATAGGGAATTCCCTGGTGGTCCAGTGGTTAGGACTGTGTGCTTTCACTACCAAGGGTGAGGGTTCGATCCCTGGTCCGGGAGCTAAGATTCCCGCAAACCAAGGCGTGGCCAAAAATTAAAAAAAAAAAAGAAGAAGAAAGATTAAGTTATGTACAATATATACTATCCTGTAATCTATTAACCATACAGTCACACTATGTCTAAAAAAAGTGTCCGTATCTTAATTCCAAAGTACAAAAGAAAACAAAACAAACACAATTTCAGTAGTAACATCAAAGATCACTGGTCACAGATCAACATAACAAATATAATCATAGTGGAAAAGTTTGAACTGTGAGAATTGTCAAAATGTGACACAGACCCGAAGTGAGCCAGTGTGGTTGGAAAAAGGATCCCAATAGACTTGCTCAGGGTAGGGTTGCTGCAAAGCTTCCATTTGTAAAAAACACGGCCTGTGCAAAGTGCAACAATGTGCGCTGAGCGTAATAACATCCTGGCGCGCGCTGTTCCTCTGTAACACGGTGTTGGGTCTTGTTGATCCCCCAGCCTCCCATCGTGCCCAAAGTGTGCAGCGAGGGCGACACCTCCAACTTCGAAGCTTATCCCGAGAACGACTGGAACATGGCCCCTCCGGTGTCACAGAAAGATCTGGAAGTCTTCAAGAATTTCTGAGCATGGGCTCCCCACCTGGAAGGTATTTCTTTTTTTTTTTTTTTTTTTTTTAATATCAAGGCATCTCATTTCATTCATTAATTTTATCAGTTGAATTCTGTTTCTTTCTTTCTTTCTTTTTAACATATACATGTATCTATTCTTTTTCAAATTCTTTTCCCATTTAGGTTGTTACATAATACTGTACCCAGTTCCCTGTGCTCTACAGAAGGTCCTCGTTGGTTGAACTTATTTACAAAACAGAAACAGACTCATAGACTCAGAGAACGAACTTATGGTTACGAGGGGGGGAGGGTCGGGGGAAGGGGGGAGGGATACATTGGGAGTTCGGGATTGATACGTCCACACTGCTGTATTTAAAATGGGTAACCGACAAGGAGTATGTTTATTTTTAGTAGTTAAAAATCAGCCAGGGGGCTTCCCTGGTGGCACAGTGGTTGAGAGTCCACCTGCCGATGTAGGGGACACGGGTTCGTGCCCCGGTCCGGGAGGATCCCACATGCCGCGGAGCGGCTGGGCCCGTGAGCCATGGTCGCTGAGCCTGCGCGTCTGGAGCCTGTGCGCCGCAACGGGAGAGGCCACAGCAGTGAGAGGCCCATGCACCGCAAAAAAAAAAAAAAATCAGCGAGGTTGACAGAACCTCATGTGCAGGAGGTCTTGCATAGACCGAGTGGGGCTTCTCTCCCCACTTCGGGCACGAGCGATGGAGCAGAACCAGCCCTGGTCCTTTCCACGGCAGCAGAAGAAACAGCTTGTGTGTGTTGGCCGCTCAGCCAGAGCACCAGCCTCACCACCAGGATCTCACTCCCCGGACCGACCTGCTGGGGCAGGCCTGTACCAGTACGTACGGCTCCTAGGAGACAGGTGCACCTACACATTTGAGAAGCATAGCTCTTATGGCTGCTTCCTGGAATCCCCGAGGTCCAGACCACAGTACTTCCCAAGTATTTTCAGAAGGGCTCTTGGGTCTCTTTTTGTTAGAAAGGAATCATCTGAGAACACGTCATAGGAAATTTGCTAAAGTTAATTTGAGATTGAAAAGAAAAGACTTTGAGTGTCTTATTTCCACGAACCTTTGAAGGTCTATGCCTCTCTGACTTTGAAGGTCTAGTTTATTTAGTTAGTTATTGAGTTAGTTTAATTGACTTTTATTTTTCTCCCTGGTATCTAGGGGTTGGTTTTTATTTTCTTAATTTTTTACTGAAGTATAGTTGATTTGCAATATTGTGTTAGTTTCAGGTGTAGCAAAGTGATTCCGTTGTATATATGTATATATTTTTTCAGATTGTTTTCCATTGTAGGTTTTTGCAGTATACTGAGTATAGTTCCCTGTGCTGTACAGTAGGTCCTTGTTGTTTATCTATTTTATACCTAATAATGTGAATCTCTTCATCCCGAACTCCTAATAATTCCCTCCCCGTCTTTCCCCTTCGGTAACCATAAGTTTGTTTTCTGTGTCTGTGAGTCTGTTTCCGTTTTGTAAATAAGTTCATTTGTACCATTTTTTTTCTAGATTTATAGTGGAATTATTTTTAATGTACTTTGGCCAATGGCAGGGGCAGTATTTGATGACATTCTTGGTGACCCTTTGGAAGTCAGGAGGCCATTTCATGATCTCATTGCTTCCTGTTCATGCAACCAGCTTGCATTTTGCTCTTCTAAAAGCCAGACACATTCGTATTTGAATGTCTCTCAGTCATTTTACCGGCTGGTATTTTCCGCTGAGCGATTAGATGTGATGATGCTATGCGAAAAGATATTCTTTCATGAAGCGAAATCTCATCCCACAGGTGAGACCCGAGCTCAGCTTCGTTACAGGATTCCGGAGCTCTGTTCTGGAGCTATGTGACTTACTCGTGCATCTGTGTGTGGACTGCTGCTTTTCAGTAGGTGGAGATGGATGTTAAGACAGCTGGCAGGGGACCTCTCAGCTCTCTGTGCCTTGTAGTTCTCTTCATCATAAAATGTTTTTTCTGGTTGTATAATCCTACAGCAAAGCACATTGAAACTAGGATCTGTTTTTGTTTTGTTTTGTTTTGTTTTGCGGTACGCAGGCCTCTCACTGTTGTGGCCTCTCCCGTAGCGGAGCACAGGCTCCGGACGCGCAGGCTCAGCGGCCATGGCTCACGGGCCCAGCCGCTCCGCAGCACGTGGTATCTTCCCGGACCGGGGCACGAACCCGTGTCTCCTGCATCGGCAGGCGGACTCTCAACCGCTGCGCCACCAGGGAAGCCCTAGGGTCTGTTTTTGCTTAAGTGATGAATCTCCCTTCTCATCGTGGGTGAGGAGAGGCTAGTTCTGTGCATGTCAACACCATAGAACATTAAAAACCCACCTTTCAGATATTGTTCCATGTCTCTTATTAGGCATCTTCTCTCCTTAGAATTCAGGCTTGTGGGTCTTTGCAGTAAGAATTCCAAAGGAAAGTTGGGTTTCTTTCGTGCTATTATCGTTGTTGTTCTTGTTAGGATGACAAACGTTACCCAGGTGTTTAAAAACTAACAAAATCCTTTGTCTAATTTCATGCCAGAAACAGGGTGATTTGAGCCTGCCTGGGACAGATGGCTGCCCCCAGGCAGACCTGAAGAAGCATCTTCTTAATGGGATAAGGACTTTTCCACATTTATATATACCCGGATGTATATAAAGAGATTGCAGAGCCATTGACATTTGTGGACCTAGAATTATTTAAGCAACTGGAAATCGACTGCACATTGGACATTTTGAAAAATTGTTTGGTTGTAGATTTTATCTTCTTTTTAGGCTTGTGTTCCTACTGGGATATCCTGGGGTGTTTTTTCTCATAGACTTTATAAGTTTGACCTGAACTTGTTCAGATACAACCACAAATTGCGTGTGTGTGCCTGTGCGTGTGTCTGTGTGTGTATAAAAAGGACGGTGTGCCTGGAGCAGGGAAATTGTGCAGTGAAGTAAATGTTCCTACTTTCCAGAGCCTATGGTGTTTTATGTTTCAGATTTTTTTTCAAGAATCTATTCTTTTGGGGACAAATTTTAAAAGTATGATATGTGCATTTTTTATCATCTTATATGCATTTTATGGTTATATGTGAAGAAAGTATCATACGATGGTCTGTATCCAATATTTTCAATGCTTTGTGTCTGGTAGCCTTGGGTCATGAATCCAGGACGACAGGGAAGGAGATGTGGGTTTGGACTTTAGTGCAAGGCTAGCCATTGACCATGAATGTTATTCAAGGAATTTTCTCTATTGCATTAAAAAATCTCATACTCTGTAGGGGGATGGCTATCTATTAATATTCCAGGTTAAATCCGTGGACCAAACTGCATCTCCCAAAGCAAACTCGTAGCTTTCTGTATTGGCTCAATGAACTTATGCAAATGTTTTCTTTTCCCTTTGGTTTTAGGAAAAGTAAGAAACAAAACGGGTACGATGGAAGTGTTTGAACCTCCCTCGTTTCTGCTTAGTTTTACTTCTTCTTGTCAATGTTCAGTCCATCTGGTGTCATAGACCTGGTTGGCTTGTGCAGAATAACCGTTGGGCGAGATTCGTTTCTCTTTGGACGTGATGGTGAGGGTCCCCTGAGGAGTGCTCTGCTGTGCCTTCCCCTTAGCACTGATCATGAAAGCCAAGTGTTGAGTGGGTCGCCATGAGTGTGTTGCTGTTTAAATATGGGTCTTCCCGGAAGCAGTGCCTGGGCGGAGGTCCTTGGTGTCTGTCTGGTCCCTCATGCATTTCCTCCTCTACTCTCTGCTTCTGCTTTCTGATTCCAAACTTTGCTCTGAAAATCTAAAGGCGCCACCCATATTCTCTTGGCTGTGAGTCAGCTGAAAACACAGCATTGCTCAAACCTGTTATGTATCCGATCGTAGGGCCCAACCACGGCCTTCTCCGTGGAGGTCTGTGCGTTTAAGAAGTAGGTTCCAGAGCCTTCAGTGGCGGCCGGGATGCACCCGATAGATCTCCGAGATCTCCTCTCCTGCATCCTCCCTTTTCCTGCCAAGAAAGGTCCAGCTCCTTGGGCAGCCGGCATGGGGCAGAGTATGCCCCACAGGTGTGTTGGTGTCAAGTGTTGGGTGCCCCCTGAGCTCTCAGCCCCCTCCCAGGCCTCTGCAGCTCATGTGTTCTTGGGTTACCGGGCAGGTTCTTTGCCATCAACACTGTTTTTCCTGGGCTGGGCCAGGAAGGCTTTTCTTCCTATAGCCCTTGCCTACCTCTGTCTCTTCTGCAGGCACATCTAGGGGTGTGGAGAGCGCCATTTGCAAAAAATCATACGTTTTTTTTTACTGTAGCAAAAAATGTCAAAGGAGATGCAGTCACCTCTCACATTTGGCCAGTTTCCACTCACGAATCCAAAGACAAGGGCTGTGTGTATTTGAAGGTGACATGAAGGCAACTTACACCTATAAGAGCTTTAAATTGAAGACACTAAATCACCCCCTTCTCATAAATGACCTCGTCTTCAAAAACCAACTCCATAGGTGCGAGTGAGCCCAAAATTTAGTAAAAGAAACCCGTTCCAATGAGTAGCTCAATAAAAATTTATTTTCCAAGGGTGCGCTTGGGTAAATGTTCCCACAGAACTGTATTTTCAGTCTGTACTTTTCAGGCACCGTGCTCTTTGGATGAAGCCATGGGCCAACAGGGGCTAAAATTTTACCATGTAATCTCTGCACTGTTTCATCGTTGAATGTCAGAAGGTTAAATGAGCAAAGCAAACCTGCACGGAGATGTAGACCCACAAGGAAAAACATGTCTTGTGTCTTCTGACTATAAAAATAAACAATTAGGGCTTCCCTGGTGGCGCAGTGGTTGAGAGTCCGCCTGCCGATGCAGGGGACGGGGGTTCGTGCCCCGGTCCGGGAAGATCCCACATGCCGCGGAGCAGCTGGGCCCTTGAGCCATGGCGCTGAGCCTGCGCATCTGGAGCCTGTGCTCCGCAACGGGAGAGGCCACAACAGTGAGAGGCCCGCGTACCACAAAAAAAAAAAAAAAAAAAAAAAAATTATTAGGAGCCTTATGCTTAAAAAAATACAAAATAA